ACTTTATTGTTTGTTTGTTTCAAAATTTTCTCTTACATGAAGTAATGACTTTATTTCCTTTGCCACATTCTTTTTGCTGAAAATGGTTGCTCTTATAATTTTATTGTGTGTTTGTCTCAAAAAGAAATTATCACACCATAAATATTTATATTCTATTGATGAAATAGTCCCAAAGTCCAGAAGGAAAGGTTAAGAGACTCAATTGAGGTTTACAAACTCCAAAAAAACATTTTAAAAACATCAACAATAAGGTAAATATATATATATATATTTTCTAGAATAATTAATTTGTTTACTACTTTTGGTTGATTACATTTATATTTCATTCAAACTCGCTGCGACTTTTTTACCTTTTTACTAATTTAAACAAATCTAAAACAACAACTATTTATTGGACAATAACGTCATTAAATTTGTTGTTTGTCAAGGTGTAAAATCGGTTCGTTTAAGTATGATAAGAAAAACTGGGCCCAACAGTGTAATATCTATTACGACTCGGCCCATTTACGATCAAATACCCTTAAAACCCTAGAAAATTTCCAAGCCGAAGGATCAGTTCTCTGTCGCCATTAATCCATTGTCGTCTTCACATCACTAATTCCATAGCAGGTTTGAAGCTTCCATCTTTTATTAATCATTCGATCTCGAACAATCATACACCGTTGTTTAATTGCTACACGTTTTTTTTAGAATTTAGTACAATCCTTGAATCAGCGCTTTGTCTGTGCTCTTTCTTTAGAATTTAGCACAATATCATTTGAATTAGGCGTTTATATACGATCAAGCTCACCCAAATTTCATTGCTTTTAAGGTTTAATGCTTATCATTTTAGTGTATCCGATATTACGGTTTACATTCTTCAACTTTGTGGTTCGACCTTTTAAGTGTGCTTCATTTAATCTGCGAAAATTGTTGCATACTCATGTAATCAGAATATTAAAAGATTCTTTAAAGAACGAAGAAAATGGCTAATTATCATAGAAATCTACCACAATAATGATGATCAGGTGAACAAATGATCATGAAGATGAAATCGAATGACTTGTAACATATACAAATTGATTTAGCTTTCAAAATCAGACAATTAACCATCTTTCTTTATGCTATTTGAAGAACACAATGGCTGTTCCTAAGCTGGATAAGAAGATTGTCAAGAAGAGAGTCAAGAAATTCAAAAGGCCCCATAGTGACTGGAAAATCTGCGTTAAGGTATTTATTTGTAGAATCATCTGATTATACTTTGGTATTGTTTTTACAGAAATGCAAAAAAAAAAGACATTTTTCTTTCAAATGGTTTCAAAAACTTGTTTATTGCCCTCAAATTTATAAGAGTAAATTACACGAATGGTTCCTATGGTTTACGGTAATTTGCGTGTTTGGTCCCTAACTTATTTTTTTAACTCGGAAGGTCCTTACTGTTTGTTTTTGTTACGCGCTTGGTCTCTGTCTTACTTCAAAAGACTATTTTTCCTTTGATTTTTTATTTATTTATATAAACACACCCCCAACCCCACCCCCCTCACCTTACCTTACCTACCCCATCATTTTCTCTATTTAAATAATAGCCTTTTTAGGTAAGACAGGGGCCAAACGCGTAACAAAAACAAACAATAAGGACCAAGTGCGTAACAAAAACAAACAGTAGTGACCTTCCGAGTTAAAAAAATAAGTTAGGGACCAAATGCGCAAATTACCCCAAACCATAGGGACCATTCGTGTAATTTACTCAATTTATAACCTTTTTGTTGCAGGAAAACTAGCGTAGACCCAAGGGTATTGATTCAAGGGTTAGGAGGAAGTTTAAAGGAGTAACTCTTATGCCCAACATTGGTTATGGATCCGATAAAAAAACCCGCCGTTATCTTCCAAATGGTTTCAAAAAGTTTGTTGTTCACAATGCAAAAGAATTGGAAGTCCTCATGATGCACAATAGGTACTTTTACTTTGACTAATATGCTTTCCTTTTTGTAATAATCAAATGTCTAAAATACCCTTAATAATGTTATATGTAATTATGTTGATTTGATTTAGGACATATTGTGTTGAAATTGCACACAATGTATCTACAAGAAAAAGGAAGGATATAGGTGGAAAAAGCAGCACAGTTGGATATTGTGGTTACTAACAAATTAGCAAGGTTGAGGAGCCAAGAAGACCAGTAAAATTATTTGCTTATATTTGTTCTTATAAGTTGTGTTGGGTTGGATGCTTTGTGGGATTTTGAAAAATGTAACTATGAACATGTTTAAATTTGGTTTAAATCTATTGAATCTTGCTGCTTTCTTTTGTTGTTTCCATTTTTTTTTTGTTAAAATTTGTCTTAAAGTTATCATTAATGACACTAACACGAAAAAATAAGTCTTGAAATTTGGTGGACGAGATTGACTGTTGGACAATGTTAAAGTGACCAAAATAGTAGGGAATTCTAAATAGGAATCAAATTCAAAGAAGAAATGCTTAAAATTATTAGTTATAATGAAATATAAGAGATATGAAGAATGCACTTCAATGCTTGTGCAAGTAGTTATGATGAAAGTATAATGCTTAAATATGTAACGTGACAATGGTTGGAATTAAGAATGAAACCCTTAAGTATACGGGTCCATGAAGCAATTTTAAAGTAGCATAAATTGGTATATGAAGTGTGTTGAATGATAAGATTTGCTTCAGAGTTGATGTATTTCTAATACTCTGGCAAGGCACCATGAAATAATTAGAGAGTTGTGTGTATATATATATATATATATATATATATATATATATATATATATATATATATATATATATATATATATATATATTGATTGGTTGACTTGTGTCAGACATCTTTAATAACGACAAGGATATATTATTTGAATAATATGATTTACTGACATGTAACAAAAAAAAAAAAAAAAAAAAAAAAAAAATATATATATATATATATATAGATTGGTTGACTTGTGTCAGACATCTTTAATAATGACAAGGATAGATTATTTGAATAATATGATTTACTCGCATGTAACAAATTTGAGTTATGTTGGGTTTGTTGCATGATTTGAAGAAGAGACAAAAATGAATCAACTTAGTATCGGATATGTGGAATAACACTCCAAACATAAATCAAATTGATAAGTTCGACTCGTTGCGAAGGCCGAAGAGTTATATTTAGCCTTAAGAAACTGATTATGAGGAAACCTTCTCACCAATAGTAATAATAAAATCTATTAGGATATTGTTTGCCATAACAACATTTCATGCTTATAAAATATGAAAAATGGATGTAAAAACTGTTTTCTTTAACATAAATTTGACAGAGGATGTGTATAAGGCACAACCATAAGATTTTGTACAGTCCAAATATTTAAATAAATGTGTGTAACCTTGAGAAGTCAATTTATGAACTTAAACAAGCATCTTGCAGCTGAAATCTTTGCTTCGATGAGAAAGTCAAAGAGTTTGATTTTTCAAGAAGCGACTATGAATCATGTGTGTATGTTAGAGCTAGTGGGAGTCTTATTGTTTCCCTTATTATGTATGTTGGTGATATATTACTCATAGGAAACGATGACCCAACTTTAAAAAGTGTAAAAACTTGGTTTGGGAAATGTTTCCGAATAAAGACTTAGGAGATGCAACATACATACTAGGTATAAAAACCTATAGAGATAGATCTAGACGACTCACTGGATTGAGCCAACATATATATATAGATAAAAATTAAAAGAAATTCAAGATGCAAGACTCTAAGAAAGGGTTCGTGCCTATGCAACATGGTGCGACATTGAGCATATATTAGTGTCCAAGCTCTAGTGATGAACTACAGAAAATGAGTCGAGTCTCATATGCGCCTGCTATATAATCGATCATGTACACCATGATATATACTAGGCCTAATGTATCGTGTTCCTTGAGTATGACGAGCCGTTATCAAGTTAACCCTGGTGAAAATCATTGGATCGCAGTCGAGAACATTCTTAAGTATCCAAGGAAGATGAATGGTATGTTCTTGGTCTATGGTGATATGGAGGAGCTCAGTGTAAAGGCTTATATTGATGCTAGTTTCCAGGCCGATAGAGATGATTCTCGATCACAGTTTGGATTCGTGTTCTTGATGAATGGGGGAGCAGTAACTTGGAGAAGTTCCAACCAAGATAAAGTGGCGGATTCCACGACAAAGTCTAATTATACTGTAGGTGATGAAGCTGTAAAGGAGACTATGTAACTAAAGAAGTTCATCACTGATCTTAGTGTTGTCCTAGCATTGATGGTCGTGTTGAGATCTTCTGTGATAATGAAGGCGAAGTCACCTTGACTAAAGAACCCAGATCGCATAAGCGCTCAAGACATATACTGAGAAAGTACCACTATCTCAAGAGCTTGTTTAAGAAGGAGACACCATAGTGATCAGAGTATCATCTGTAATAGAACCTTGCCTACCCGTTCACCAAACCATTATCACAAACCAAGCATGATTGTCTTACCATGTTGATATTCATTAGAGTTGCTTGTGGATTGGTCTGATTATTTTAGTTTAGTTTTGAATTATTTTGGAACTTATATAATGTAAATTTTATCTAACATGATGATTATTATGTGGAGACGTAATAATATGCTAGATTGCAAGAATTTTCATTAATTTATCACTATGTTCCTTTCACATGTTTTAACCAGCTTCCACAATATTAATTTACTCACTCCTCCACACTTGGGCATACTTCTGTAATTAATTAGTGATTTAAGATTGCCATGAAGTATTGTAGAATATCCATGGAGATAGACATAACAAGGAGATGCGACTAATGCTCATGGGGTAATTAATGAATATTAAATATTGGAGTAACCCACACTTACAGATTAATTCTTGGAAATTGTCACGAGTAATTCTAAGATGTTAATATATTATATTCTTCAAATAGAGATGCATGCGACTTTTGTTCAACAGTCTATTATGGTTTTGTATTCTCCAACGTTGTTCGTAAGTAACAGCCATAAAGGGAATGTCCATGTATGACATGATGAGTACACTGGGTCTATATGTTCAAAGTTTTTTTTGTTCATTTTACCATAACAAGCAAAGCGATATCTCTAGGCTCCTCGATGATTTGGTGTTGACATTAAATACTTGGGCGAGCACAGACTGAGTTGATATTGGATTAATAGTGCAGTCTGATGTGGTTATCACAAATTCTATCGGGAAACATAATTTTGAATATGAGATTGAAATACTTCAATGTGTCAGGTTCATATATATATATATATATATATATATATATATATATATATATATATATATATATATATCTTAAAGAACAAAAGAATATTTGATCACTTACCTAAGGGTTTTTTCATAGCTGGTTAGTATGAGTTCACCAATTGTATTAGATAGAACACTCTATGTTATTATTAGGAAATGTGCGACCATACAATTATTTGTAATTTGTGTAAGTGGGGGACTGTTGGAAATATAGCCATCGTCACAACAAATTGGTAATATTATTATTATTAGTTGGGTCCTTTTGGGTTACACTCAAGAAAAGATCTACGCATAATTTGTCAAGAAAGATGATAAGGATCTAGTTTGTTAATTTATTAGTCAATAATAAGTTAACTAAAAACTTGTAGATCTCATGGGTTTAAAGTGATATTTGAAATTCGAATCGTTAAGGATAATTACTTAGTGACCAAATCATAATCCAAAAGGAAACCAAAACCCTAGCCCTATAAATAGGAGCCATGGCTAGCCCCTTTCCCTTTCTCTTCTTCCTCGACTTCTCTCTATATTCTTCATCTCTCTCTCTCTCTCTCTCTCTCTCTCTCTCGGGTTTCTTATGCACCAAGCAAGACCGAAAACCTCTATTTTTCTAGGGTTTGTGTTCAAGAGTTTTTCACAAGAAAAGAAAAGGTGTCAAACATTTCTAGGATCTTTGTCTTGGGTGTTACTACATCATATGAATCATAGTTTGGATTCTAGATCATCTAGACAACACAAACAAGATGAAAATCAAAGGCTTTAAGGGTATGTATTTCTTAGTTCTTCTCTTTATGTCTTTATGTTGCAAATTGTACATGGATCTGTGATCCTTGCTGGAATATGTTTGTTTGTGCTTCTCCTGCTTTTGTGGCTATTATATTTGATCATATTGCATATATTTCATCACACGAGGTCTAATACTGTATAATTAGGATAAATAAAGTAAAGCAAAAAACCATATTTGGATGCTAAATGTAACGTCCCAAAAATCATAGTAATTTTTTTTTTCATTTTAATAATTCAAAATATTTACTCGTTGTTCAAAAAATGATCAGAGTCAAGGTATTCTGAAAACATCAGAGTAATTTGTAAACACTCATTGCAGAATAAATCTTCAGGGGATGTATTGCGATCAAGTCGGACCCTTCCTTTTGAAAACTGGAGTACCTGAAACTATAAACATAAAACTGTAAGCACAAAACTTAGTGAGTTCCCCAAAGTGCCACACACAACCGAACAAATATACATATTGCATGTTGGGTCCACAACCTCGCGGTTAGATTACCCTGGCCCACAACCTCCCGGTTGGATTGCTATATATATTGCATACTGGGTCCACAACCTCCCGGTTGGATTACTCTCGCCCATAACCTCCCGGTTGGATTGCCATACATATTGCATACTGGATCTACAACTTCCTGGTTGGATTACCCTGACCCACAACTTCCCGATTGGATTGCCACTCTGGCCCACAATCTCCCGATGGATTGCCCCAGGTTTATTGGCTTACAACATAAACTAGTACAACCTCAACCCAACCACACTATGTAACAGATAAACATATAACTAGCAAATACAAGTAATCATACGAATCTACCAATCTAACATATAATCAACATATCATCATCTTATACAGTGTTGTAAAACTTGGCCAACTCGGGCGAATACTCGGAATCGACCTCTTACTGAGGTGAGTTAAGCCAACTCGGTGAAATAGCTCGAAAATCGGACAAAATCGATAAAACTCATACCAAATCGGTCAAACTCGGCTGAGTACTCGGACCAACTCAGTGAAACTCGGTAAAACTCGGGCAACTCGGTCAAACTCTGCCAACCTGGTCAAACTCAGTCAAATGGTCAAAATTGTCATAAAAAGAGAAAAAATCAAGAATTTCAAGATTAATATGTATAATACACTTAATCATTTATTATTTAACACACACATATGTGATTATTACTATATATATATATATATATATATATATATATATATATAT